AAAGAAACCTTTCAGTTAATTACTCTTAACTTAAAATGTGCTTCTTCAATTGTTGGTTCATCTAAGCTTCAGTTTTCTTATAGAAGAGCACAGATGTCAAAAATTAATGTTTTCATAATAATAGGGCCTGAAAATACTTTCACCTTATATCTACAGCTTATAACTGCACCTCAGGAAGATGACAAATATCGTTCGGTGCATTAGCTTCCATGTCTTAGATAATGTCTTAACAACTGTATCAATTTGTTCTAAGAATTTTCTGTTTATTTGAAAGGTAGATTTATAAAGAGGACATACAGAAAAGAGGAGGGAGTGAAGGAGGAGAGAGAGCAAGACCTTCCATCCTCTAGTTCATCTCCAAAAGGTCACAAAGCCAGAGGTGTGCTAGGCCAAAGCCAGGAGCCAGGAATTTTATCAGTCTCCAATCGGTGCAGACGCCTAAGTAATTGAGCCATCCTCAAATGCTTTCTCAGGTGCTCTAGCAGGGAGCAGGACTGCAAGCAGAATAGCTCTCATGGAATGACTCAAGAGCAGGAGACAGCTATACTCACTAATTCACAGTGCCAGATTCTATCCTATTAATTTTTTTTGGCTAAGTGTGAATCATCACCATTATATCATAATAGATACTAACATTTGTTTGAACAAATCAGTAAAAGAAGTAGAAAGAAACTTGAAGTATCATAAATTATACTGTTTTATAAAACAAGTACAAATCAAACATCAGTTATTTTCAATATCTGTTGACACATAATCAGCATGATAGATGTGCACCAAGATACATACTCTTCTTATTTAGGACTATGTACAGTAAGTAATCCCTAACCTCAAGTTATTTTATGTTACGAAAGGGGTAAAAATAAACAGCAAAGCAGATGGGGCTGGCACTGAGGTGTGGGAGGCTAAGCCTCTATCTATGGCACCAGCACCCCATAACGTGCCAGTCCCAGTCCCAGTTGCTCCAATTTCCATTCAGTTCCATGTTTATAGCCTGGGAAAGCAGTGGAGGATGGTTCAAGTTTTTTAGCCCTTGCATCCATGTGGGAGACCTGGAAGAAGCTCCTGCTCTGCTCTGTTGTGGCTGTTGAGGCCATTTTGGGAGTTAATTAGGGCATGGAAGACCACTCCCTCTGTCTCTACTTATTTTGCACCTTTGTCTTTCAGATAAAAACAAAATAACTCTGTAGAAGCAAAGGGGAATAAGATAGTGAGGGCTCAAACAGTAAAAAACTGTCCTCATGAAAATAAAACACCGAGAAATTAGGCAATACTACCACCTTAAACTTAGATCTCAAACAAGCCCAGAACATTCATATAATCCTTAATAAAAGATCTGATATTTACAAAAACACTATAAAGGATGACTAAAAGTCAGGAAATCTGGGTTTCTCTGGCTTCCTGCTTGTGGCCTGGGAAAGCAGTAGAGTAAGGCCCAAAGCCTAGGGATCCTGCACCCTTGTGGGAGACGCAGAAGCAGCTCCTGGTTCCTGGCTTCAGAGCAGATCAGCTCAGCTCTGGCTGTTGCAGGCACTTGCGGAGTGAACCAGCGGATAGAAGCTCTTTCTGTGTCTCCTTCAATGTCAGCAACATGGCACAGCATGTTAAGCCACTACCTGTGACTTAGGATTCCATGTTCCATATTTAGAATGCCAATTCTACTTGTGATTCAGCTTGGTGCTAATGTTCCTGGGAAGATGGCTCAAGTCGACCCCAACTGATCATGTGGGGGAGAACCAGGCAGAGTTCCAGGCCCCTGGCTTTGGCCTGCCTCAGTCCAAAACAGGTGAGTTACATCCAGCCCAAGAAGTCTCCTTAGCTTTAACCTTTACAAGAATGTAAATAATCTGTTTTGTCGTTATTGTTGTTTTCTCTCTCCATTTCTTCGGTCATTTTTCTGTAGAGCCAATCTTTTCTGGTCAGCTAACTGGAACACTCACTCAGAAAGCATTGGTTCTATTTTATAAAATAGCACGAAGTGTTTCCTGAATCTAGAATTACAAATAAAAGCTAATCATTCCTAAATGTTTTCATAGTTCTGTTTCATCGCAAAAATGAAAGCGTAACAATTATATAATAAGCTATATGTAAGGCATTATTGAAATTTCATTATTTTCAGAATTCTACAGGTTAGAAAAATGTCTAGAGAAAATAAAAATTAAAAACTCACATATCTACTTAGATAATCATCTAGTCATAGTACAAAAAGATTATTAAAAATTTATGATCTCATGAAATAATCCTATGCAGTACACTAAAAAGGAATACTAAAGCCTCGAGTCCCCACATATCTCCAGGGTAACTCTCAACCAACTAAACAAAGTAAAAGAAACATTTCTTGCTAAAAACATTATGAAATTAATATTTCCATTGGTTTTTTAAATTTACAAACCAGGAATTACAGTAAAAATCAAAACAGGACTGGGCTCAGTCAAGAACTTGTGTGTTGTGTTCTAAATTGGAATTCAAGCTATCAAACTTTACATACCTAATGTATATGAAAAAGTGTCTTTCTCCTTTCACCTGACTTCCTAATTCTAAGTTAAGAGCTACAGGAGGACAGTGTCTTGGAATTTAAGTTTAGAAGTTAAACTTGTTTACATGCATTCTTGTTACTAAAAGCAAAAACAAAATGACAGCTCAGGTATTCAAGCTCAGTCTCCACTAACATCCAGGACATTCACTGCTCCGCAGCTTTACTGCAAGCAGTCCATTTAATAAGAATCATTCTGTGCCATAAATGAGGATAATACCTAGATATGGATCCAATTTGAATCATGAAATTTGATTTGCACTTTGCATACAGATGAACAATTGTGAATGATTTCCTATGTTACATTTATAGAAATAAATCCTAATAAGTGCTTAAGTCCAATTTCCCTTTTCTATCAAATTTATTTTTCAAAACCCAATTTTTCAAAATGCATAAGAGCACAATTTGGAAAATTACTGAATTATTTACTAGTTAGGAATCCTTCTGTGTAATAGTAACACTTGAGGTAACAGGGTTCTCCAATGTGTTATTGCCAGGACATGTTATAACTACCTAATATTAAATAACAGAACAATTCATTTACTAGTGATAACAACAGAAAATATAAAATCTCCCTTTCATATGCTTCCGATTTGTCACACTCATAAAATAAAATAATGTCTATCAGAAAACAGCAGAGTTATATCCCGTGATTCTGCCACCTGAAAAGTGTCAGTTTTGGACCTGTGGAAAATACAAAGATAGCTAGCAGAAGCAGAAGAAAATGGTATGCATGAATATTATAATTTATGAAACTCTTAAACTCCAATAAAGCAATTACCATAGAGCAATGAAGATAAGAAGTCTTGGAAATTTGGATGAGAAATACATTGGTTCCAGCTAAAAGAAAGTGTATATCTGCTTTTTGGGAGAACAAAAAAATATGGAATTTCATTTATATGTACTGGAGAAAAACAAGGAGAGCATTTGTTAAGCATATCCTCCTTTTTATCACGATTTACTGCACTAGCAATCGGGCCATCAGAGTACAGTCTAAGGCTAAGGACAGTAGGATGAGGCTGCACATCAACTCTGTAGTAAAATGCCATGGAAAACTCGAGCAGGCTGGCCTGGACTCTCAAGGAGCTCTGCGGAAGAAACAGAGCTGCACTTGCTACAGACACAAAAGACTTCTCTGCATAGTGAAGAAGACACTTTGTCTACTCAGAAAATTCAAGCAGAATCCAGAGTTAAGCAACAAATCAAAGTGCTGAAATCCCTACAAAACAACTTCCAAACTGAAGAAAAGATGAACACTTACTAGTTACATATACCTGCCAGAAGTCGGAAAAATCTGCTAGTTTTTTTTTGTTGTTGTTTAATATATGTAATTTAATCTTCCATGAGAGTAGACGTCTTTCCACAAGTTATCCAGAAAAACTGAACATTTACTGAGTCATGTGGCATAATATACAAGCTATCCACAGTACCAAATAACATATATTCTGAAGGATTCAATTCCTTCTGTCACCATTATTAGAATTCATTAGAATGGGAACAATCTGGGAGGAGAACACTAAAGGAAAATGAGCAATTTTGATCTATGAAATTATCATTTATAGAAAAGTTATTTTTTGAAAGTAAAATAGTTAATCATTTCTAAGGAGTACTAACTTGTCATTTGTCATAATATCTTTAACTAATTTAATGTATTTATCAAACTCAAGCACAAGATATTTTCTTCTTAATAGTAACAGTATACCTTTGAAAATATTTTAGGCTTTTAAACTATCAAAATAATCTTTATCCTAAAAAATGAACTTTAAAAAAAACCCTAACAATATAGAGTGCTTTATTTTTCAGTGTATTTTAGGTAAATCAGTGCCAAACTTTGTAGTTAATTACCAAAGATTTGTAAAGGATTGCATTTCAGTCCACATTCAGCAACAATAAGAAGCAGATAATAAATTTACCAGCTGTGCTTTATATACTTGCTTATATTTTTGACATTTATGTACTAATGCAGAGTATTGGTACCTATTTTAATCTACTTTCATCACTGCAATTACAAGCCAATAAAACAAATAAATAACAGAGCAGTTACACAGGATTAAAATAATTATTAACATTTTCTCAGCATAACAAGAAATGAGACAGCAAATGTTCTAACAAAGGTGGGAAAGAAGGACACAAATAAACATACCAAGTTTCCATTATCATACACAAAACAAAAACATGTTGTTATAATTTTAATCAGCAACAAAGTTGCAGTTCTATGTAACAACTTCAGTGTTTGACATTTAAGAGAAAAGCTTACTTAAGATCCATGCTTCACAGGCTCTATGTGAATATGTCACTCCTGCCAATAGCAGATAGAGCAGCATTTTGTTTACAGTGAAGATGACAGCAAAAATACAGCCATGGACATACATGCATATACATGTGGATTTACAAACAGATAGATGCCAAGTGCAGAAATCTTCACTGCAAGGCAAATGCAAATTGTTCAAAGAGATTATAAATAACTTACCTTTCGTCCATCGCTTGCGTGGCAATTCACATTTAGAGGAGTCAGTAAAGCCATTAGTTTCTCTTCATTACCACTCCTATAAAAAGGTAAGTCAATTTCTATGAAATTACAGAGTTCTAACGAATATAGATTTTTTTTTTCACAAGACAGCGGAAAATAGATTTGCTTTGAATTTGTCTCACATGGGTCATGAAGTTTTTGCAATGTTCTTATTAACATTTTGAATTGATTCATGAATCACTATATAGTAGTATATATCTTTGATAATGTAGCTTTTTACATCTTCACTTGCCTTATTTATCTGCATAGTCATCTTCTTAATTACAAACTTTATTCTAAAAAAATGATCTAAACGCTAGTGTTAAATATTCATAGAAAATCCAGAAGAAATAGTCAATTAAATTGTAAATGATCAAGAACAAAAAATATGGATTAGGATTTTTGCTCCTCGTGGAAGCTTTGCTGGAAAAACCTTCAAAGGTATATGAGGATGCAAGCATTGAAATACTCCAAGAACACCACTGAAAATCTGGGCAACTAAGATTTACAGCTATCTTAAGAAATGTTCCAAATTAACCTTATGATCACCACCATATTGTAAGATTTTATCACTACACCAGTCATGCAAAATATTAACAGATTTATTATAAGATCCTTCCTCTATTATTGCACAAAATTCAGACCAGACAATAACATGTTATAATGTTTATAGTCCTCCACCTGCCCTCCCCTTTTTCTCCCTTAAAAGCATTAGATTCACTGAAAATGAATGGAATCACTTACCTAGCAGCTTCTAGGAGTTCGTCTTTCTTGTATTCACCTAGATGATTGCAAAATATCATGCTGTTAGCATTTGGCAGAAGACAGATTAAGAAATGCAGTAGGCAGCAAATAGAGAATTAAATAGAGAAGAACAGAAAAAGAGAGTCCACACCCCGCTGGGTGATGGAGCCGTGACGTTAGCCAGCTTGTGAAGGCAGCATCACCAGTGCCTTGGAGACGGGCAGCAAATTGACGCAGCTTCTTGTCCAATCCTCAGATGAAATAGCTTTCTTCAGACAACCAATGAATGCTAAATCTCATGTCCAGAAACACGTTCCCTCTGATAACAGCATGCCAGTTGAAGACAATGTCCCCTCCCCCCTTTCTATTCAGGCTGTCACAGTATACTTGTGAAGCATAATGCATTCTGAGACAAAAGCAAAATAATGTGGCTCTTTAAACGTACAAATTAGAAGGCATCAAAAAACTCAGTTTTATTTGTAATGACATGGAAAGTTTTTTTTTTAATTATCGTCGAGTTTTATAGCAACAGAAAATGCAAATAATCAGAACCATGAAGCCTCTGCCTTGATAGGGAAGGTCTGTAGACTAGAAATACGTGAACTACGTACCAAATGCTGCAAGCCTCTTGGAGGCAGCGCTCCCAAACCAAACACTGAATGCATTCTTAAATGACAACAATACTCAAACATGCTGTGATCTTTATGCGTCTTACAAATTCAGTATCAAATTTTAATGGCAGATCTCAAAAATATTCTGGAAAGGACTCTGGGGTCCCTGAGAACAAGATACACAACTACCATGGTGTGGATAAATTTTCTCCCATTCTATTTTTCACAAAAGATTTTGAAAAATATATCACAGTGTATAATTAGGAACATAATGAAAAATATTTCATAACAAAATTCTTAGGGTGTTCAAAAAAACCTAGCAAGTTTATTTTGCATGTTCAGTTGAAGGACAAAAAAATTTTAATAATACAGTTCATGCAACAAATTAGCAAAAATAGCCAGGATGATGATTCAGCTCTAATAAACTAACTCAGTTTGCTGTATCATTTAAGAAGTAATTATGTATTGTCTCAGCAAGTCATCATAAGAAAACAAGTGTTAAGTATACTTTAGGAAATTAAATTTTAGATTAAATGAAAAGTTACAATATAAAATAAGCTCAAAGAATTTTTTGAAATCCTGTTTGTATATACAGACTTCTTGCCCTCATCCTATTTCACTGCAGAATGTATTACCTTGACACAAACACATGAAGGTAAGTCAGTGCTACCAGCCACATTATTTAAATTCTACCATGGTACTTTAAAAAGTTAGTGGAAAATAGAATTGAAATACAAGCTTAGTTTGGTACAAAAAAATGTTTAATCCATGCATATAATGGGGATTCAAAAAGCTCAGGAAAATGCAAATTATGAAAAGAACCATGCATGGGCTTCAAACATTTTTGCGCCAAAATACACATTTTAAATCAATTTTTCCACAGACTTTGAAATTCCATGTATAACTGATATTTAGTCAGGAATTCTTACCTGTTAGGCTTTGTTTTACCTCTTGAATTAAAATGAGGTTGAAATCTACAATATCCATTTTCTCTTCTAAAGCAATTTTGTATTTCATTAGAGCCATAAGCTAAACAATGTGCATCTATATATTAGAAACTAAAGCCCATGATCTTAAGAGTTGGTCTTTCCAATTTCCTGTAAATTATGTTTCACATTCTTCCACTAACTTAAGCCAATCACATCCTTCAGCCAATAAAGCCCAAAGCCCAAGTCCCACTTCTACATTTCAGTCAGCAATGTGAAGTTAGAGTCAATTTACAAAGATGTTTGTGAGGAAAATGGTATAACCTGTATCTCAAAATACCTGAAGATTAAAAAAAAAAAAAGGAGACTAAAATGATGGGCAGTCTCCCTTACATATCCTCCAGTCACCGAACATTTATTCAAAAGACCCATGAACACGTCGGACTGAAAACCAAAGGTATCATCATTTCTGACCTTCAGGAATGTTATTCTGTTAAACAAGAAGCCAGAAAAGGACACAAATATTTAGATTTAAAAAAAGAAAAAACCTTCAGGAAATGGCTAGCAGGGACTTATCAACTAGTCTAAATGGGATTCCCAAAAGTCTGAGAAGTTGTGGTCTGCTGAAGGCTTCCTGCAGGGGAAAGGAAAAGACACTTGAAAAGAGTTCGGATGGACGCACCAGTGATCACTCTCAGGCCAAGAGCATGGGAAAAAAGGAAGCAACCATGGTAAAAGATACAGGGAAGAGGATGGTTGCTTGTGAACCTAAAGCAAAGCACACTTGGAAAAGGACGGTGCAGAAAGCAAGCCAAAGGAAAAGTGGAAACTCTGTTTCTAAAGCAATGAGAAAACGTGAGCAGAGTGGGGCACAAAGGATATTTAAAAATCTGTAACTTTAGCGGTTACATAAAAATATTTCCATACCCTCTTCCAGGAAATTTTTGTGGGGGAAAAATGTAGCCAAAGACAGGGGAGAAAAAGGGAAAATTCAATTCTGACAGTTTCTATTTTAAAATATAAATTCCCTTAACACACAACAAAAACATTAAAACTATGAACCGAAAGTAGCTACTACTAAAATTTAAGTCATAGTGAAGCATGACTCCAATAAGCTAGGTAATAAAAGTGCAGTTATTTGGGATCCTCAAAGTTCCAATCAGCCGATCTGCTTTTCAAGCATAGCTTATTGACATTTCCACCAAATGGCATATTGTTGCAAAAATGTTATTCTTTCCTGGATAAGCTGAAAATAAACCAAAGCATCCAAACAGGAATATACGAGTGCATCCAATAGAGTCAGACACGGGTGTTACAAACGACTGTCTACTCGTACCTTTAGAGATCCTAGTTCTGTAATCAGCTTTTCTGCAGTACATTCCAGCATCCACTATCTGGTGCCCAAGGACCACAATCTATAGAGTTGAAGTTATTTTTCAAAAGCTACCTCACAGGAACAACGAACATAATGGATTTAGAGCTCCTTACACACTCTGACAGCAAATCTGTGCCACGTACTTAGCAGCCAAACCACCAGTTCTGCTTTGCTTTAGCTGAGAATCTGAAAATACCAGTGATGGGGCATTTATATTCTTTAATAACATTCAGATAAAGTCTGGCTATAGATCAGCCAGAAAGGGAACTAGCAATTATAATCAAGACAACAGCAGCCAGAAATGGGAGAAATAGATGTTCTCAAATATTTTGTTCTTACTGGAATAAACTGAGATTAGAAAAAAAGTTAGACAACAAGTCTGACTTGTCTGAGTTGTCAAGTCTGACTTTGTCAAACAAATAATGCTGTGCTACATGTAAAGATATCCACATAAACATATACAAATACAAGTTGATGTATTAATTAAGCTATGAGGTAAAGGTTAAAAAGTAAAACTGCCCTAGTACTTTTTGGAGTTGTCGGAACAGCCTCTCTGTTTTTTGATGGTAAAGGCAAAGTCAAGGCAAATGGAGAAAACTTAAAGAATAAATGTTGTCATCAATGTTATACTTCAATTTCAATACTTTAAGGGGCTAGTGACTATTTTCAGCAACTGAAAGGATCAAAGGAGACTTAATTTTGTAAAATTAGTCATTCAGTTTAGTTCAGATGGATTAATACAAAGAGAGACTATGTGTATGGAATAACAAATTTTTACAGCAATAAAGGACAAAAAGAGAACTCTGATTTTTCTGTTTTTTCAAACCACACATAATTCACACCTAGCAATATCATCTCAAGTTCATGAAATGGCGGAAGGGGAGACAAAATTTGAAAATTACCCTTTGTCCTTCTCGCCTCATTCAAATCTCAAAACTGCTCTCCTAAAGGATCATCTACAACATATTCCTTGATAGTTAATGAAACTGGCGCTTGGGTATTAATTGAACTGTCTAGGGTTTCACTGAGCAGTATCCACTATCTACTAGGTCCTGAAGGTGGCTAACAGATGAAAACAAATTAACCAAGTCTGAGTTGAAAGAGGTAATGTAAATGAGTTTCAAAATAGCAACAACAATAAAGCATTTTTAGAACAGTTATACTACCTGGCTTCAAATAATCTGACCACATTAATACAGCAAATTACAATTTATCAAAACTACCTTAAAGCATTTGCCCTTTCAGATGAGCTTGTAAACAAGGGCCACGCGAGGCCACGGAAACTGGAGTGACTCATTCTGAGTCTATTCCAATGATCAATGTGTTCTGCATTTCCCACAACATATTTTAATTTCTAACTAACTTGAAATTCCAAAGGAAGAGCTAATGCAAAAACTTTAGTCTCACATGTTAGATGCAGCATCTCTTATGTAGGTGAGTGCCAAGCAGTGTCAGGAATTGGTAATCCTGAGACCAATATTTCCTCACAAGGTAAAAGCAACAATAAGAGAGGCTTTGATTCTTGCAGCCAAACTTGGAGCCTATGTGAGGAATGAAATATTTGTTTTAGTGACATATTCCATTGTGTTTTCATTAGTAGATTTGAAAAGTTGAAAGCAGCTATGTGATCTTGGAATGGAATTATCTAAGGCACTACGAGATGATCTAATCTCAAAAAGTCAAGTTAGATTTTCCACCAAAAGCAATTTTAAAACAGATGAATATTCTCCCATATAAAAATATGGGCCTCAGGAATACTTGAATTTTTCTCTCTGGGACCTTTTATGAATATACTCAGAATAAGTAAGGAAAAATTACAAAGATCTCAGAGCTCTCAAAGCCTTCTGGCTATTTCTGAATCTTATCAAATCCTTCTACTTACTCAGAAACGAACTTGCAAGTTTATCCCATCATTTAAACCTAGACTCACAGCCAAATTTCACATACACTTTAAACACAGAATAGCTTGGGGTCCTCAAATTCTAGGCTTCAAAAAGTTTCTGAAGACACTTTAAAAAGCCCAAAATGTATTCTAGTTTCATGTTCCATGAACTTATAAAGGTACCCTTCTATTTTCCTGGCATAGACCTCCTATTACCTCCTACAATTGTGACTTTTTAACCAG